AGACTTATGTTCCAAGCAACCGACCATACAACCATTTTAAAATCGCAATTTAAAATTGTTTTTAGTAATTGAGAACGGCCATAGACCTATTAATTTTTCATTCAATTCTTATCAAAAAAAAAAAGATTCTGAAACTTAATTTTTTTCGTGTGGTCTAATTAATATTTCAAAGCTACTCAGCCATAATATTAGAATTTGATTTTCAAAGCAATCGGAACCTTGACATCCGAGCTCCAGACTCCTGGTCAAAACGACCGAAAATGGTCTATATGGCAGTAAATCATTTGTGTATTTTATTGACCGGTACTGTAGATTTTCATTTACCGGTTCTTACAAGAAGTCTTAATTAACGAAGTCTTTTGCACTTACAGAAATTTTGAAGCAGAAGATTTAAAAAAAAAAGAAGAATTAAAATTGTTAAAATTTTAGTTAATTAAAATTTCCAAGTTTTTTATCCTGAAAAAAAACTTCGAAAACTTTCCTGTTTCAACATTTCCGTAATTTCACAAGACTCTTGAAATTGATAATTTCTCGACATCTCAAGTTTTAGATTGGATTTAAATGTTAAAAACATTCGAATCGAAATCTCTCCCTTCAAGTGTATGGCAGATTACGGTAGTTTGTTCTTGTGTTTTTACTGCTGAAAGTTGTTCAAGCCTCTTGGAATGCATATGTAGTCGGTGCAGGGGTTCAGAACATGTGGAGGGTGGACCATGAAGCCTGTTCAAGTTCAGTAAATCAAAAAAGTGAACCATTTACTCCAAAAACATCCTAATCAGAGAGCATGATGACTCTTACCCCCTTTTAATGTTCCAGTATGCAATATGGAACAAAAAATTCGGAAATTTGAAAGAACTTGAACCCTCAAATTCTTTAATTTGAAATTTTAGACTGTATGGGTGGTCCCATGTCTCGGACCGCTCTCTAGAAGTTGATGGAACCTACTCATGGCTTTCATCTTCCACCTCATTCATCCATTATGCTAATACTAATATGTTTGTGCGATTGGTTTGTTTTTATGTGTGTTTATGGGGGTGTTGAATGATTGAAAATCAATAAGGGGAATCGAAGAGAGGGATAAGAGATGGTCTCGAATGGTTCTTGACATATTTGTTGTCGCTCTCTTTCTTTTCTTTTTCCCGCTTATTCGACTCTAATAAGAGATATATAATGTTCTTCTTGAGCATTGAATAAATTCATATTTTTGTGTTTTTTGTGTTAAAATTTCCCTGTTTCAAAATGCCAAAATTATTTGGGAGGAAAATGTTGTTGCATTCGTGTTTTTTTTATTACCGAGATTAGCGTAGTGCAAAACTTACCCCCCAAATGCGCCATGTCCTTTAAAATTGAATAAACTTGAACAATTCAAACAATTCACTGTTACTCCAAGTTGAGATATGGACAACTATTAGGAACTGTTTAGCGAATCTTTTGATCTAAGAATGCTCATTTTTCGATTTTTACAAAGCTTCCGAAATTCATTTATTGATAACTTCACATGGTATCACAAATCTAATTCAAACTGGAAACCCCATTTTGGATGTACTATACTAAAAATTAGATTCGAAAATTCTGAAGTTTTATTGTCAGACCGGCCAAATCCAGCTTCTTCAAAATCGGTCTAGCAGTTCGGACTTCTTTTCGGAAGGAGCGTAAAGTGTACAAAACGATTTGTTGAACTACAAACTTGACATATTAATGAAACTTTAATATTTACCGGTTTCTCAACATTTTGATACATTTCCCTTTATTTCTGGAATCTTATTCAGAAGAAAAGCTTACATACTTTTCTCGCGCATAGTTTGAGAGAAAAATCATGTTTCTGGTGGTTTTTACAAAATTTTGGACATACATTCGCGTTCCATGCATTCTCGAACTATCTAGTTTTCTGGAATGATCTGTTGTTTTCTAGTTCGACATAGTAATTTTTTGTTAAATGGCAAAAAAACATCAGAAACCCAGACCCCAGGCCCCAGACCCCGGGCCCCAGGCCCAGCGTCAAGTGAATATCCAGAAGGCGAGCGGAGACCCGTGGAGCGATCGAGGTCCAGCTCCATGCGGGCCCAGCTCCATGCGGACTCAGGAGCCCCAGTACGCGGGTCCCCCAGGCCCCAGGCCCCAGGCCCCAGGCCCCAGGCCCCAGGCCCCAGGCCCCAGGCCCCAGGCCCCAGGCCCCAGGCCTCCCCTCTCTGGAGCCCAGAGAAGGTGAGAACTGATTCTTTTCTCATTTCTCTCTTCTTTTATAGTAATTTTCCAAAGGTCAATGGGCATTCACGTAGCTTTTTGGACTAGAATTTTAAATTTTTTTCGAACATTTTTTTTGTCACGCTGTCTTTTTATCCATAAAAGAATATTTTCGTCACGTATAGAAAAAAAATTGAATTTTCTCTTTTGAAATATGTGAAACTCTCTAAAACTGTGATCTCTTTAAACCGAATTATCTCGTTTCCTGCTAAGAGATATCAAAAAATTGTCAACTTATGAACTGTTTCTGATATCAAAACAAATTTAGTGGGATTCTCGGAGCTCAATTCAGATTTTCTTGGCAAAAACCCGTCAACTTTGAGCTGATATATTCCATTTCCTGTGAAAGATATCAAAAAGTGATAAACTGACAAAATGTTTATCTTAATATCAACAATATTTTATAATTAGTACTGTTTCTCATTTAGACAAACTTGTACAAAAAAAGTTGTCAACTACAAAAATGAAGCTCTATTTTTGTTTAGCGTACTACAATTTTCAGGGTTATTCAACAAAATCTACTATATTTTGTAATCTTTCGAAATTGAAAATTTTCACAACATCAAGCTAATAAACCGGTACTGTAGATACAAAAATAGGTAGACCATATATTCCTTTTCTTTCGTTTCTTTTGGCTAAACAAACAATTTCCATCTTTATAAGAATCCCATCGGCATCATCATAGTCTCTCTTCAGGTGTCCACTTGAGATGGTAGCAACTTTAGGGAAGAATAGACGGGAAGAATAATCTCTCATTTTTCAATGATTATTTAGATTGATATATCCTGGTGGCAAACTTTTTCGGCTGTTGCGGACAAAGGCAGTGTGAAAAAAGCACACATTGGAGTGAATATCTGTCTAGTTTCATGAGCACATTTTGATCTTTTCGGAAAATTTAGTCCTTGAAGAGATAGGCTAATTGCAACCCTGTAGGTCAAAACCGCTATTTTTAAATTGTTTTTTTTGCTGTTCCACTGTTTTAATATTCACTTTGACTACAATGAAAACGTAATCCTTCTTCTGAACACAATGTTTTTTTCTATAAAATTTCTCAGTTTTTCAAATACCGTTAAACTTTTTACCGCAAAAAAGATTTAATTGTTTAGACACAATTTCATTAAGAAAATAAATACACATTTTTTGTCAGTAGAGCGCACTTTCCCCTTTTTTTCAAATGTTTCAAATGATTCATATTTCTGTGTTCCTGGATTTAGTGTGATTTAATTATTCTGTCGAGTTTGTAGGGTTTCTCTGAATTCTTTGTTTCGAATACATTTTTTATTGATTTCTACAAAAAATTTTCAGTTGCTGTGCCCGTTTTAATCAGGTTTCTCTCTATTCTTTTAGAAATAGTTCAAATTCTTCAAATCGCAATTTTATACACTTTTGGGAACGATTTAGGTTATTTGGCTTTTTCAGTGCTTTATATTTTTCGCTGTTTCGAGAAGTTGTTTTGAATATTTTCACACAAAAAAATTATTGGTTTCTAAAAACGCTCTTTTAAAACTTCCTAATTTTTTGAAGTCGTTTTGAAAAATTGAAAATTTTTTATAAAATTTTTTAGTAAAATGTACTTTGACCATTTAAAAATTTTCCTGAATTTCTCTCTAAAAAATGTTTAATTTGAAACTTAAAAACGTGATTATAGTGAAGCAACTGAGATTTTAGAATTTTCTTTGTTTTAAGAATATCATTGAACTTTTATTTTTTTAATAATAGAACAATGAAGATTGTTCTGATGAAAAATCTCAATTTTAAAATTATTTTTATATTTAGACTTTTTGATACTTGGACCATTTTCGTAAATACTTTGCTGTTTCAAATTTTACAAATAATTAGTAGTAAATGTTCGAAAACTTATTGGTCAGGAAAAACAATGAAAAATTCTTTACAAGTTTTCTCACAAAGTTTCGTTTTACCATAATTGGTTTTCAAAAATTGCTGCAATTGTCGTTGGTTCTGTTTAATCGCATTAATCCCAAAAATGAACATGTGTTCTGTTGTTTCAAGTAGCTCCCGCCTTGTCATCTTAAAACAACCCACCATAATACAAATATCCCATTTTTCTATTCTTTTATCCCCAAAAAGAGACACACACATCCCAGCTCTTTATGCTTCTCCTCCCTTCGAAAAGCGCGATCTCCTTTTATATTTGCTCTAGAAAATCACCCCTTTCTTCTCTCTCTCTCTCTTTCTCTAATCCTCTCTATTATTCATTATCTCTCGTCTCTCACCAATTCATTTCCGTCTATATCCCTATGTCCATGAGCCCAAAAAGAAAGAGAACCCAGCGTTCATATTTTTCCAAGTCTACCATCCACAACCGGAAAAAGTTTTTCATTGATTTTTAAACTGTTTCATAGAAATACAATAATATTTTGAAACGTTCAAAAATTTTAAAAACCCATGCCGTTTCTCGAAAAATCGCATGCTATTTTTTTTTGCCTTTTCAGAGCTTCGGAAACATTGGAATTCTTGAAAACAGCTTTTACACTAAAAATAAAATATTTGATACTTTCAAATATATGTCAACTACTACGTATTATTTTCTTAAGTTTTTGATAACTTTTCAGAACTTTTTGAAAACGAAATGTTTTGGAAAATAGAATAAAAATTCAGAGGTAATCTTGATTATCTTATGCTGGGAATTATATTAACATTCGTTTCAAATGGCTACAACATTTCATCTCCCGCTTTTCTACATTTCACAAACTTTTTGAAACATCATTTTTTACAATTATTTTTTTTCAGGTTACCAATCTTCTAATTTCTCAACAGTTCCAAAAACAAAAGAAATCCCTTATCAACCCATATCACTGATGAAATGCAACACTATGATAACAAAAGGTGAACTAAACTTTTTATTTTTTTTTCCGATCCAAATAAAGAGAAAAAAGAATTAGAAAGAATTTCAATGACGTTATCTGCTGGCCTCATCTCCTCTCATTTTCTCATCTCGAAAAAATCGGAAAAAGGAGAAGATCGATTTCTTTTTTTTCCGTTTTTTTCTATGTCTTTCTGTGTTGCAAACTATCCAAAAATTGAAAATATTTTTCGAGTTTTTGGTTTCAAAAGATAAATGGTGTTAATTTTTTATTAAGTTATCAAACTATGTATTGTATTAATCCATTATTTGAAACGGTATCGTCCTGGAAAATTACTTTCTTTTTTAAATAACTCAAAATTTCCAAGAATGAATTTTTTTGAAATTTCAAAACACATCTGTTTACTAGATTCAAAGTTTCTCCATTTTATAATCAAGCGAGTTTCATCAAACAGATCTCTAAACTTAACAAAAAATGTTTATGTTTCAGCATCTAGACAAACTGTCACATTTTTTAAAACCCTAATCCAGAGTATTTCTTACCACCCCAAAATGTTGCATTTCTGAGTTTCTATTGATTTGAAATGCCTCCAACAATCTACATTTTCAATTCTAAAAAATGATCAAATTTATTCAGAAATCAGAATTCAGGTTTTTAAATTCAGTTTAGAGAAATATATTACCCTTTTCAGAACCCAACTCTCACCAACCGTTCGACGACATTCATCCAACGTCAAAACGTATGACGCTATTCAGTTTCGCGACAAATTGAGAAGAGGTGAGCAATTTTGAACTTTTGAGAATTAAAAAAAAAACAAACATTTTTCGCTGTTACGATATCATGTTATCTGAAATTTCCGTAGTAATTCCATTATTTCTATGAAATGATTAAAGTTTGAATCATTCCTTTTAATTTTGTTAACATAGAAAGTTAAATTTTCATTAAGTTTCTAGCAAATTAATGTTTCTGCTTCAAAACTTTCATGGATATTGATAAGATTTTCGAAGTAGTTCATAAGTGGATAAATTCATATTTATAGGAGATTCGGACTTTTGATACTCCTCTTATGTGGGCTACGCGGTTGACAGTTAAATTGAAAAATATTTTTTCCAGGCGTCTCCCTAGAAAACCTTGGTCCTCATCGTGTCTGCTTCTATCCCCATCCAGCACCTTCGACTCGAAATCCACCAATTAATCGACCTGTTTTGTTTTCCAAGGTTTGTTTTATGAATACTAGAATTTCCTAGATTTTCCGAAAACTGTGAAACCGGAAAATTTCAAAATGCCCAATTGTTTACCATTTCAAATATGTTTCGAAAACACCGAATTATAATTGATTCGCCGTAAAAGCTAAACGTGTTTAAAAACCAAATTTACAGAACCCCATCGGCCCGGCATCCAAAAATATCAGTAGAAAAGTTTCCAGCTACTCGAAAATGTCAAGTATAGCGAGAGTTGCATGGGTGAGTCATACATTAATCCACATTTGAACGGGTAAGTAAAATAAACGCATCAAGTTAGAAGTATGATGACTTTAAAACAGTAAAATTTATAAGCTCAATCTCCTATACTTTACTTCGCTAACAACCCAAACCTTAATTTTTTGAACTGTTGTTGTCGAAAATTGTCATTTTTGGATGACTATAAAATACAATAGATTTTATGGATGATTCTGAAGTTTTTCTATTACACTAAACAAAATTAGAGCTTCAATTTTGTAGTTGAAAACTTTTTTGTAGCATTTTCGGTTTTTAAGACATGCGCCTTTAAAGATGGGGATGAATTTTGAATTTTTTTTTTCAGAATTTGAGAGTTTTCTTTCGAATTCTTCAAATTTCTGGTTCTTTAGAATTTCGGGATTCGAAATAGGAACTACAGTAAACTGTAAAACAAAAACGAATTATTTTGAAAAGGAAGTGCAAGAAAGATGAGGAAAAAGTGATGGCGCACGTAGTATTGCTCTTTTTCTGTAAATACCGGCTAAACTCAGTTAGTTGAAACTGAAATATTTGTTTTCTTCTGCTTTCAGAAGTTTGGTTTCTGAAATTTTGAGTTAAGGGGTTTTTTCAGGATTTCGGTTTCGGAATTTTCAAAAATTGATTGTTAGATGTTTGGGACCCTCAATTTTTAATTCGAGATTCTAAAACAACTAAATTTCTTAATTTTCAATTTTTGGGATTTTCCGAAATTTAGGATTCAGAATTTTCAAAAGTTCGAGTTCCTAAAGGGTTTGGGATTTAGAATTCCGGATGTGAACCACAGTGAACTGGATAAATAACAGCATGCAATTAGCATGACTGTAGAATTCTTTCTCATTCTATTGCCTTATTTTCTGTAATAATCAGCAAAAATCAATTAGCTGAAACCAAAATATTTCTTTTCCCTTGTTTTCAGAATTCAGATGTTTGATTGTCAAATCGAGGATTCTTGAAAATGGGTTACAGAATTTTTGACTTTTGGGATTCTAACTTTCCGAATATCCGGATTCTTCAGGACTGTTCAAATTTTTCAAGTTCAGGGATTCCTCAGGATTTCCGATGTTGAATTTTCGAAATATTGGACATTAGGTTCTTCATTAAGAACTCTTTCATTGTCTTTGTTCTGTAACAATCTGGTTAGCTGAAACTGTTCATAATATTTTTCAACATTTGGCCTAATCTGTAAGTGTTCCTACCTGCCCGCCGTTCGCCCGGGAATGAGCCGCCAGCCTCTCAAATTTCAAGAATTCCCGAGTAAACCGGTACTAAAACTTGTACATATGTACAACATGTCGTTTTTTCAACAAAAGAGAAACATCAAAAAGAGCGAGCGAGAGTGTATTGGTTTCGAATATTTTTCACAAAAATATATATTCAAAACCTCTGCGTCTCTTCCCTCCTCACACTCTTTCGCTTTGGTGCCCCGGGGGTCTATAATATAACGTGTGAATCATACACCCACCTCCAAACAACCATTCTCTTTTGATATTCCTTTTTTTTGTCTTTCACCGTCTCGACACTCTCTCTCTGTATCACTGAATTTCAGTATACAGACTAGTAGTGTGACTAACTTTTGAAACCCTTTTTATCATATATTTTTGACTTTTGTGTTATACAGTACTACTACTGTAGTGTCCAAAATGTCGAGACGCGTAGGATTGAGCCACTTTTTTGCCAGTTTGGACACTGATTCGGCTCTTTATGAGGAGAGCAATTTGGTAGGTTTTTTGATGGGAAATTTGAAAAAAAGTTTGTGATCGCCGAATGATGACTACAATAACAATATAAGAAGGAGCGATTTTCAAAATTTTCAATTTTCATCCCAAATCACTTCGATTTCCAAAATTTCTGGGAATTTGGAAATTTTACGTGATTCACAGAAATTGAACGTTGCAATTTCTGGGATTTTTCACAGAACTCGAACGGTTCGAATTCTGGGATTTTGGAAATTCACGTGATTTTACTGAAACTTCACAGAAATTTTGGAAATCGAAGTGATTTGGGATGAAAATTGAAAATTTTGAAAATCGCTCCTTCTTATATAATGATTACTGTAATAACAGCAGTTTTCGAAATAGTAGTGTTTTTCGAAAAGATTACTGTAGGTCATTTAAAGGACTAATGTAGTTTTTTTAAGGATTACTGTAAGTCATTTGATAGGTACATCAGAAATTACTGTAACAGAGACTGTATGATATGAGGAATGTCATTCGGTAGGTACTGTACTCCAGTTATCTTGCAAATCTTTTAAAAACGATTACTGTATCGAAAAGATCTGATTGCTGTTGACTTCATTTTCCTTTAGTTGTATCGACAAGGTTTTTTTTAAATATCGGATTACTGTAACAGTTTGGATTGGTTGTTCCTGAAGCACTTTTCAGATTTTTTAGAAATATTGAAACTGTAAAAAATGAGCTGAAAGTGTTAAAACCAATTTTTCGAAATCAATTTTTAAACATTCTAAATTTTCCAGCTCCGCCCATATGCTGCGGACCCGATGCATGCAGCCACATTGCCAAGGAATTATGGTGAGCATTGTTTTTTGTTTTTATAAAAAAACAAATTTGAAAACTTCGGCTCTTTATGATTTAACGGGGGTTTTGAATATTTGAAGGGGTTTTGGGAATTAACGGGGTTTTCAGAAGGTGTCAGAGTCATGGTTGGGAAAGTCCCCAAAATGTTCCAAAGTGCTACAGTTTCTTGTTTTTTGCTCATTTCAGTTGAACTATTCTTTTCTGAAACCATTTTTTTGTTTTTTGTTTTTTCATTTCTGAAGTTTTATGGCACTGTTCTAGAATTGCGGAACGAATGAAAATCTCATAAAAAAATGGGTAGAAAAATTTTGACACTAAGAAACCTTCGTAGATTATAGGCTTAGGCTGAAACGCCATATTTCCTTCATCTAAGTCATCGGAAAATTGGCGGCAAGTTACATAACTTTGCTAGTTCTAACCTCGAATCCAAAATACAAATGTACCGCTTTCCCGGACCACTTGACTCGCCAACACCATTCAACCTCTCTAAGAGCAACTATTTGATCGCCCTTCCCTTTCTAAGCCTCCTGTACCTGCTTCCAGGGTTAGATGATAGACTAGGATAAATTTTTTTCGTTCCGTAATTCTAGAACAGTGCCATGAAACTTTAGAAATGAAAAAAGAAAAAAACAAGAAAATGATTTCAGAAAAGAATAAATCAACTGAAATGAGCAAAAAACAAGAAACTGTAGCACTTTGGAACATTTTGGGACTTCCCCAAACATCGTCCTGACACTTTTTGAAAACCCCCGTCTAATATTTAAACCCCCGTCTAATATTTAAACCCCCGTTAATTATCAAAACCCCTTCAAATTTTCAAAACCCCGTTAATTTTAAAAATTTTTTTTAAACCCCCGTCAAAAATTTAAACCCCTGTTAATATTTTAACCCCCCGGTAATTGTTTAAACCTACGTTAAATCATAAAGAGCCAAAACTTCTGTAACACTTTTAAGAATTGGAAATTTTAAAACAACTTTTGGAAGACCTTGAATCAAATGAATACTTTCAAAAATAACTAGAATTTCAAAGTAGTTATATGAAACTGTAAAATTTTTGAATTTTGAGCTTTTTTTTCAATTTGAAAAAACATTGAATTTTGGAAGCTGAACAAAAATTTATCCGTTTCATGATTCCTTGAATATTCATAATTTAAGCTTCTATACAATTCCAATTTTGCTAATGTTGCTCTGTTTCCCGAATTTTTAAAAACGAGCATTTGAAACTTTTTTGGAACAAAAACTGCAAAAAAAAGTGTGTAAATCTTCAACATTCAATGAAAAATACAAAAATTAATACTAATTGAAAACTTCGAGTTTTGGTTTTTTGTTTTCGAAAACTCAAAAATTACTTTATCCAACTATTCCCTTGGAATATTTGATTCTCTGAAAAAATTTATTGGAAATCATCTAAAATTGGAGTTGTCCTAAAAATCATGTAATATTGTCAAAATTGAAAATTTCTTTTTCGATTTTCAGAAATTCAAAAATCTACTTTTTCCCATTTCATGCATTCCATAAAACTTTGAGATTTTTTACTATTTTCAGTTCCGGTTTAATTTGAAAAGTTTGCCAAAAGAAAAAAAAACATATTACTGCGCAAAAAAATGTATCAAAAACTACTAGGCTATGAAATTGTGGTCCTTAAAGATATGGTCCTTATTTTAAGCCAATAACTGTTTCACAAATCTCATACAAAGATTTCAATCTGTTCTGGTTTTATTCTAAGATTGCTTGGTACTGCAAATTATATTAAATTCATATTTCCAGCCGTCCATGACACCTCATCACCAGCCACATGGAACGACCGTATCCTCTACAGTAACCTAAATGGAGGAGGAGCGGCTACAGTAGGACGAGTCGGTAATAACCATCATATTGTTCATGGAGGAAGGTGGGTGGTGGTTTTTGAAACGATGAGTCATGTTTTCCTGTTATCAGTTGACTTTTTAGGTGGGAAGGTTAATGTCTCATCGTTTTGTTAGAAAATTGTTTATGGGGTTTTGAAATTGTTATGAAATGGGTAACAAACTTGGGGAAGGTTCGGGAACCTTTGAAAGGATGCGAAAGGAAGATATCTTTTTTTTGGTTAAAAACGGCTACAAAAGATAGTAGATTTTGTTAGATGAACTGGAAAACTTGTACGTATACTAAAAAAAATATAGCTTCAATTTTGTAGTTGACAACTTTTATATAAAAATTCATCCGAATGAGATATACAGTATGAAAGTGTCACTTTATGCTATTTCCTGGAGAAGCGGTATATCTCATTTGCACTTGTTTGTACATAACAGTGATCAACTACAAAATTAAAGCCCTATTTTTGTTTAGTATACTCTGAAATTTTCAGACAAATCGAAAAATTCTGGAATCCTTTTTTTAGTATTCCAAAATTGACAAATTTAAGAAATAAGGAAAATTTCTACTGTTTCACTATCTGTTCAAAACGTCGGGTACTTTCTTTTGGTGCTCCTATCGCCATTAGCAAATTTCTCAAACCTTTTATTAGGGTCTTAAAATTATAATTGGAGAATATTAAGAACTTGAAACTGAAAATATATATTTCATTTTCATCAAACTTGTATTAGCTCATAATTAAAAATTAAAGTATTACGTTCCAAATATTCTCAAGACAACAAACATAGTGCAACTACAAAAATGTTCTAGTAGTTATCCTATTCAACTGGATTTTTAAACACCCTAGGTTTTCGGAGTAAGAATTATGTCAAAAGTTCGAACTTTGACAAAATTTACAAAGTTTCCCTGTAACAAAAAAATTGCCAAGAGCTCAGGCGGTATGAAATATTAGGTTGGCGGGAAAGTCTTTGTCACTCTGTTTGTTTAATCACTGTTCTCGTATATGGAGGCTGTGTATGATATCGACTCTAGTGAATAACAAGGTGATAAGAACCTTCCATATAAACAAGTCCCCATTTCCTTCCCTGCTCCTCATCTGTAATTGAAACGATATGTTTGTTCCCACTGCTATTCACATCAGACATGTTTTGATTTACCTCTTCCTATCTCACACCACGATGAAGGATTCGGAAACTTTCTTGAAGAATGTGTACAACACACATGCCCCTCACTACAATACTATTCGCAATTGGTTCCATCGTTTCGAAAAAGATGACTTCTCGCTCGATGAAAAGGATCGCTCTGGGAGACCCCGTGAGTTGGATTTGGACAAGCTGAAGCACGCATTGCAATCGGATCCATTTCAATCTAGCCGTGAACTAGCTGTCACATTCGGAGTTCACCATAGCACAGTCCTTGAAGGTTTGAAGTCTCTTGGAATGAGAAAACTTTTTGGGCGATTCATACCTCATCACCTGACTCAAGCCAACCTTGACCGCCGAGTCGACGATTCGATTACTCTTCTCACTCTCCACGCGGGCGATCGATGGCTGGACCGGCTAATAACCGGGGATGAGAAGTGGGTCTTCTACGATAATCACCACAGGAAATCCCAGTGGGTTGGAGAAGGAGAGAGCCCACAGGATGTCCCCAAACCCGGCCTTCATCCGAAAAAAGTTATGCTCTCTGTGTGGTGGGGAGTGGACGGCCCCATCTACTGGGAACTTCTGCCCGAGGGCAAAACAATAACTGGAGACCTCTACACTACTCAACTACGAAACCTCAAGAAAGCAGTCGACCGTTCGGCCCTGAAAGACAAGAAAGTGTACTATCAACATGATAACGCTCGCCCACATGTTTCGAAACAAGTGAAGCAGGAGCTGATGGGATATGGATGGAATGTTCTCCCTCACCCCCCGTATTCTCCTGATCTTGCTCCTTCCGACTATTGGTTATTTGGCGATATGACACGTGCCTTCGAAGGAAGAAGCTTCAATTCCTGTGGAGCGGTCGAAGCGGCACTCAAACAATACTTTGCCTCACGCCCGGCTGGATTCTACCGCAATGGAATCCATAAATTGAGGGAACGTTGGAGACATGTTGTTGATAATGATGGACAATATAATTAATTATTCGGTTATTTTTTCTTTGAGAAATAAACTATTGAAAAAGTGACAAAGACTTTCCCGCCAACCTAATACATAGTTTTGTGATGATTTTAAACGTAGACAACAAGACACTATAGATTCTCTCCGACTCTCTAGCTAGACCGTCCTGGCTTTGAAGATGCATAACTCGCTTCATTTTTATTCAAGAAAAATGAAGAATAACTACAGTGATAAAGACAATGCTAAGGGTGTTCTAGTGATGTGCAACTTTAACATTTTCAAATTTTCCTGTTTCACAATACTACCAAATTGAATCCAGTCTATAATTTTAATGAGCCATGGGATGAATCCGCAGACAAAGAGGCAATTATGATTTTCTCCATCTTTCGAGACACTATTGCTTCTTTACGTCTCTCTAGCTAGAAGGCCCTGGCTTTAAAGGCGCATAATTCACTTCATTTTTGAACCTAACGAAACAAAAAAGAAAGTTTCAAAGGAACTTTCCAGAAGTGTTTAGTGATACACAATTTTGAAAATTTCAAATTTCAATGTTTCAAAAAGCTGCCAAATTAACTTATTCTATTTATAATTTTAATGCTATCTGTGGTGAATACATACGAAACAAGACACTATTGCTTCTCTGTGTCTCTCTTTCTAGATGATTCTTTCTTTAAAAGCTCATAACTTACTTCATTTTGAACCTAATGAAATAAAATTTAGCTAATTTTGAAGGTAATTTCTAGAACTTCCTAGTGATATATGTCTTAGTGATATACCTAATTTTGCAATACAGCTAAATACAATCATAAAACAAAATACAGCTAACTTTTGAAAATTGATAACTCAGTGTTCCAAAATTAGCTTAATTTTAATTTTAAGGGATATTCTCATTCACTATGCAGTTCATTCTATTATCTTTCTCCCACTTTTTTGCATAATCCCTTCATTCCCTTACGCTAATGTATGCAATACATTACGTCTATGTGTGTGTGTAAGCTGCTCCAAACAATATGATGATAAGACTCCTGCGTTCTATTGTTATGTCTGTGTGTATGATAAAAGTGGAGAAGGGCATGCGAACGGGATGGGAAAGAAAAATTGGATGGATGATGCATAATGGTAAATAGAGAGAAAAAGATGGGAGAACATGGGAAAGGAAGATACATTTATTTGAATTACAATGTGTTCTTCTTTTAAGAGGAGCTTGATGAAAGTAGCTTGTGATAAGAACCAGTTTTTTTATTTCAAAATTTTCAATTAGCCTTCCTTAACTAGCTCAGATTTTAGGTTAGTTTTGAAGCAGTAATATTAGCTTCCCTAATAAAGTAGTTACCTAACTTTGGCCCAATTTTGCATGCTCTCTGTAGCAGATATCAAAAATTGATCAACTAACAAAATATTTATCATAAAATCAGACACATTTTATTAGGTGACCACTTTTTGATATTTATCACACATAATGAGATAAAATGATTCAAAAAAGGAAACTTAAAACATGATTATTTTTTTAAAGTTTCAAAAAGCTTGTAGATGTTGGTTTTTTTATAAGTTACAACTTTTGGAGTGTAGATAAACTATCGAAACATGTAACGATTTGAAATTTTCGGTTTTTGAAAAATTCCCTTTGTTTTGAACTTTGAGTGAAAACCATTGTTGTAATTTTAGAGTTTTTTCTGATGGATTAAACCTATTTTCGTTTTCAAAATAATTTCGAATTTCTGTCAAAAATTGTGTTAATCAATGATAGTGTGTTTCACAGAAAAATTCTCACTATCAGATTCAAATATTTAGATTTTTCAAATGAAATTAAAAGTTATTATAGATTTATTGATGGTTTTGGTTTAGAGCAATAAATTCTGAACATTTGATATTTTAATCTGTTTCAAATCTTCTGTAACTTTTGAAAGTTTAAAACGTATTTATTCTGACTTCCATTGGTTGACGTGGTCGCTGGAGATGGGACGAGCTGTCCGAAGACTGATATCAAGGAGCATTCTTTCTGAGTCTTTCATGTCCTGCCCTCTATTGTTTCATTACCTGGTCAATAAATTAATTCAAAGGAGGCGATTTGTTGAGTGAGATCAGCCATTGCCTTTGCCTGATCGCCAGTTGTTACGTCCTTAGGATCCGGCATTCTGGCCGGCTCAGGGAATACGAATAGTAGTTATTAGAATACAGATTTATTCAGGTACTAAAGATGTACGAGAATAGAGGGGGAAAAGTAGAGAAGGCTGGGAGAGACTAGGACAGACCGAGAATGGTTGTCAGCCCCAAAGAAAGAGGGGTTCTGACCAATGAATCAACTAAGAAGAAGAGTGCCAGAGAAGGGCGCTCTTCTTAGGTGGGTAGATCACAAATAATTTGGTAGATCAAATATAAAACTAATGGAAGTATGCATAGAATGCAACAGGATGGTTTGTCGATAAGTCCCCATGTCTCTCGATTTTTTAATATTTTCTAAAATTGGTTTTAAACAATTTCAGAATAATCTCCATAAAACTGTTCTGTGTCTTCCAATATTGAGCAGTACCCCTATACTAGCATTATGAGCTCAATTATCTTCATTTCCATCAGAGATATCAAAACTGTGCAAACTAATGAAGTTGTAGTGATATTAAGATTAACATTTTATCAGTTGACAAACTTTTGATTTCATTTATAGTAAACAAGATAATTGAGCTAAAGATGCAAACAGAAACATTATCATTGTAAATACGACAATACTGCTAACAAAATCATATCTTATTCTTTCCAAGTTATATGAAATAGGAATTTTTTGTCTAGGATAGTTAAAATTAACCCAAATTGAAGTTTCTGAAACTCACTTATAAAAAGTTCAAAAGGAATTTTCTGAAATCCCCTGTTTCATGAAACTATTATTTTTCGGAATTGTTTCGGAGGAATGATCATGTGTAAATAGCGGATTCCTAATACTGGCAAGTTTGACATCGTTCACTAGCTCTAAAAGCCTGAAAACTATTATTGACAGCCTTGACTTGGAATTCCCGGTAGAGCATAGCGAGTACAGAAAAATAACCTATGTTTAAGCCTGTTATAGAAGGGCTCCTGAACGTTAATCCAACTTATCTTGCTTTCTATGATCGATATCACAGATTAGTCAACTGATAAAATGTTTATCATAATATCGCCTACATTTTGTTAGCTGACTACTTTTTGCTATGCTGGGTATGAACCAAGATAAATTTGATTTAAATTGATTTGTTTGGATCTACCTATAACTGAAAATGTTATGATTTTCTTAAAACAGAAAGTATTGTTTGTATTTAAAATTGATAGAAGTTCTTGTTTGGCAAATTCACTGTTTTAAGAAACTATTATTTTCTCTTCACTGGTTTGGTTTTAATTCAACCCACTTTCAGACACTTTGCCTCTCTGGAAAAATCAAACGCGCAGAGATACTCACGCAGTGAGTATCATCTCATGGACCAGAACAACGAGTTTACCGACTATGACACTATTCAAAGACAGGTACGTTTTTTGTTGTTTTAACAAATTGGTCCTGTTTCAAATAGTTTATAATTCAATTTTTTGATTTATTGCTGATTAGCTATTGAACAAATTTGTTATGTTTCACACACCTAATATTCTAGAAACATGTCTAAAAAACCATTTGGTCGCTCAAATATAGTGGAGTCTTGAAAATTGTTTCACGGTCGCTTATTGCATGTTTATGTGAGAAAAAATATTTGAAATAACGAAAATCTTCCTATAATCTATACAAGAACTTTACGAAACAGTAATCCATGGAACCCTTGCTAAAACTTTTTCCGCTTTTCCACTTTTCAACCAGAACCGTTTTGCAAACATACATAAACCGTATTACCCTCTGCCCGCGAATATTCTCACCTGTCATTACCCTCTCTCGCATGATGTGGGTCTTCTTTACGGTCCATTCCGCACATGGGGTCATAATTTTTGCAGATGGGGTGTAGAGGAAGGCACACAAAACATTGAACACCTGTCATTTTTACTCTTTATGAGTAGCTCCTACTTAAAACGCTGGTACTTTGTTCAAAATTGATATTTTGCTGATATTCAAAGACTGGAATAAAGATTTTGAAAAGGGCTACAACTTAAAAATAAATTTCAATAGGTTTGAAATAGAAATAGGCTGAATGGAGATTAAATTTGTGAGCAAGATAGTGATCTTGAGGGGCCTTTGTTAAAACAACTCTAATGAAGTTGGTGAATTGTCAAAATTGATTTAGAATAACCGGTAGAGCAGAGCAAGTACAAAAAACAGTTCATGTTTAAACCCTGTAAGGGCTCCAAAACTTTGACCCAATTTATCTCTTTTCTATAAAAGATATCAAAAAGTGGTCAACCGGCAAAATGTACATCGTAATATCACCTACAGTTTTGTTAATTGACCACTTTTGCTATATGGGGTAGGTGCCGAGATAAATTTGGTTTAAATGGATGCTAAACTGTTCGTACCAAGTGTTAAAAATCTCAATAACTTTTCAAACTCATGACTTGCTTAAAACAGAAAATATTTTTCAAAAAAATTTTCAACGTTAACGGCCGTTCTATTAGAGGTTTTTTTGTTCTGGGTTCAGGCATCGAAAGGTGTTTTTTATAAACTTTCAAATAATTCCGTTATTAAGTATCTGTTTCATTGGCTTTCCAAAGTTTTAGGGAATTCGCATTTTTATTCCGACATTTTCTCTCTTACGGCAGAATTGCAAAATTGATAGTAAGCCCTTATAATAGAGGTTTCATGATAATTCTTCCCGCTTGAAAATTCTTTAGCTCATTTTAGTAAAGGCCGTCGACCGCGGCTTTTTGCTGGATTCGGCGGCCTAGCGGTTCAAGAAGTTTCTGGTTGGCTGAGCTTAAGAAGCGACGGTCTGGACCGCGGCCGACCGCGGCCGGCCGTTCTCGACCGTCTTTCAAGAAAGTCATGACCCGTTTTTGCTTGCAAACATGTGCCCCATCCCCTCTCTTTATGCATTTTATTGCTTTTTATTGATCGTCAGTCACCAATGCACCAATGCGCACACACAAACAGTCCAATCCTCCCTATTTCGGGGGGTCCTCTATACCTTTTATAAAGAACAACAAGGTCATTGCTTCCTCTTCCTCCTCTTTTTTCCACCCAAATTACCCTTTTGTGGGGTGTATGTATTCATTGCAGCAGCAGTGTGGTTGACAGTTCAAATGTGACACCACCCCACCTCTTCTCTTTTATTCTTTTTTTCCGTTCGGTTTTTTTGGTTGGATGTCATCTGATTTTAGCAACTTTCACAACCTCTATTGAAATTTACTAGAATATTGAATCAGTGATTTTTTTATTTGAAAGCTGTTTCACTTACTCTAATTTATTCATTCAAAACATTTCGAAAACTTTGGTAACAAATTTGAATATTTTTTTAAGACTTACCAACTTCATTCAGGTTCGTAGAATATTTTTCGATGATTTGAAACGGTGTACATTTCTTATATTGGAAAAAAAACTTTCTGTTTCAGTTTCAAGTCGAATTTTTGTTTTTATTTTGGTATGGATTAGAAGTTGATTTTTGCGATTGTCAATAAATCCATATTTTCCTTAAAGCTTGGAAATAAACCATTGCAAAATCTGTACGTTTTTCAAGATTTGACCTCAATGTTTGTTTCCTTGGGACCAATAAACTACACTAGAACGAGACCATAGCCATGTATTTAATAACTTTTTCGAGAATTGGAGACTCTTAAGTTCTTGTTGATACAGTAATTTTCAATATGTTTCAAACTTCAAATTGAAACGCACTTTGATGAATTTTTCGTTTATACCGTAAAACTTGTAGCCTCTAACTTTGAGCAAATTTATCTCGTTTGCTGTGAAAGATTTTGGAAAGTGGTCAACTGACAAAATGTTGGTGATATTATGATGAATATTTTATCAGTTGACCACTTCTTGATATCTTTTACAGGAATATAAATTCATTCGGTCCAGAAAGCTGATATTTTTGATTTTCCCAAAAATCCATACTTGTAACGGGCCGGGCTTTTTCCCAAATTTCGGAGGCCCGGCGGGCCTGTCATTCCACAAGTTTTGAAAATTTCAAAAAACACATAAGGGGGGACCCTTATGTGATTTTTTTCGATCAAAAAATT